ACCACAGTCAACGGTGCATGACGTGGCGAAGGCGACGGCTGTGGTGGTGGCGGCGACGGCGACGGCGGCCAGAAATGCACTTCTCCATGGCTATCTTTTCCAGTACCGCCATGAATGGCAAAACCACCGCTGTTGGGAATTTATATTTATGGGACTTATCATTTTGTTGTGCGGTTTGTTTTTTGGTAATTTTCTTTTAATTAAGTAATATTATTTTGTGTTGAATATTTTTTATCCTCTAATAGGTTCTTGGATAGGATACAGGAGCAGTTGCTTATTGTTCGTTCTTCTTAAGCACTTGTGGTCCCGGGCCAATCTACAACAAAGATATGTGTTACTGTGTGACTGCGAGAAGTAGTGGATTTGTACGGCACATGTACTCCAGTATTATAAGAACACTTACACTTATGCTAGTTATTGAATGAAATCCATAACGAGGGCAATGGGTTTCCATTTGAGACTCACCTCAGTGCTAAGGACATATTGGATTGAGTTGGGACATCGAGGCAAAACTTCAAGAAGCTCCTAGATTGCAACAAAGTGTGGATTATCATCCGAGGCTTGTGAAACAGCACTAGGTCCTGTTTTGGTGACTACTACAAGTGAAGAATACAAAACGAGGAAGAGAGCACTTACCGCAAATACGGAGCTTCTAGAAAGATCCACGGAGGCGTATTGGATGCCTTTAACCTCGAGATTGGCGAAATTATGGGGACGTTGGTCAGTGGATTCCTCTAGACGCGCTTTCTTGGCTTTATCTTTGTGTTCGTTCAAGTTCACGGAAGGCGATCGAAAACACTCAGACAGCAGAGTAAGCACGAGCGGAGCGTCGTCAGCGAGGGTTAAGAGGAAGGCATTGGGGCCAGCGTCAAATGTGTAGGCAACCTGAAGAGAGAACAGGGATGACAGGATCACTCAATCGAAAGCAATGTTATTATTAACAGCACCCATTAGCACGGATTACCAAACACAAATAAAGGTAATTGCAAATTCTTCACGAAAAAAACACACCTTACCAGATCTAAATTAAATCCACAAAGTCTTCCTATTAAAAAGCGGATCGAGTAGTAGTCACAAGCTTTAAACATACCAATTAGTTAAACTACAGAAATTACAGAAAATTGATGCTTGTTGACCGATTGCGCTCTTGGAGGATGACATTTTCATGAGTTCCCACAATCCCCTCCCACAAAGGGTGCTCATTTAGACAAAAGCATCCTAATGAAATCACCGAGAAATTTACATACCGTAAATGAGCATTGTCCAATGCACAACAAAATTGTGGAATTTTATGCCTAATTTTAATGTCCATACGCGTAAACCAATAAGGAAGCACAACCAATTTTGAGTCAGTACGCCAAATGTCTTGGGTTGGAGATTCTCTTCAAGTATTAAAATTAAAAACCGCTACGTTTGGTTTAGAAAGTGATTACACGATAGCCAGTTCGCATGAGTTTGGGAACAGTTTGGAGATTTTCAGTTCTGGGGAGACCGACAGATTTCACGATGCAAATTGTGAACAAGAATTCGCTTGGCAGGGAACAACCTCGTGACAGCCGGTGTCGAGAGCTATAAACTCCAACACAGATGGGTCTCCTGTTAGATGGTAAAGATTATGCTCAGATAAATGCTATTACTAAGCATCAGAGCAGATTAATTGACCTCCCAATTGCCGACAAAGCATCACGGTGATTGATTAATTTTGATCACACTGTGTGACAAATTGTAGTCTCTTGTGGACATTCAACTGTTGCAACGCACAGATTGGGATCATCATGACCTCCTTAAAAACGTTAATTTAACATTTTTAAACGAAACAATGAACTAAGTTGCACTGAAATGTTGGTCGTCTGACCAATACCGGCAACAAAAGCATGCAATTGCATTTACCAACACGGTTCTGGAGTAAAGGAAAAATCAACCTATCGTTTAGCCTGCCGTAATAACGAGTCACTTTCAGACAGCAGTCGATGCATGTTCCATGCAGAAAGGTACAGTCTTTTATTAACACTAGACCAAAAACATGGCGATTCAACCTACCACACATCGTTGCAATCGCGCGTTGAGCGTGTGGACAAAATCAATGATGGCAAAGCTCGTCGCGTTGAGGTATATTGCCGGTGGCCAAGAATCTAGACAGAGGGCATGGAGCTCGTTACTCTCCCGCATGGTCAGCTCAGCGAGGGTCGGGAAGTCGCGTCGAGCCAAAGCATCAACGAAACGAGGCAGGCGTTCACGCACCACGGTGGCGCGCGCTTCTCGAAAGAGCGGACTCGTCGACACCGTTCGACGCATTGCCACGCTTGAACTCACCGGCTTCGAGTGGGAAGACGTCTAAATAAATTAATAGTAGGCAATCAATCGTGGTAGCTGGAAAATGCAGCATAAAATTAATGCCAGTCACTAATGCTTGCACTTTAAATAATTTAGTTTAAGCCGAGTATCTGCATACCACACATAAAATTAGTAAAAAAATCGCAGAACAAAACCATGTTAAACAATTTCATAAGCTGCCGCAAAACCAGAGAATTCAGATCACCAACATACCACACAGATGAGAACGCGAAGCTCGGGCCAATGTGTATGAGGAAAGAGCTGTTCCACGGTTTGATAACGAAATTTTGATTCCGAGGGAAATCTCTTCCAGTGTACGATACCACCAAACATGCTCCTGCATGCCGATCCTGAGCCCCTTCTTAGAAAGAACAATAAGTAGATATACACAGTCACCTAATACTTGAAAAAGGATAATTGCGCGTGATAGTCCCAAAACGTTACTTCGAATTCAAATAAAGTAATAAGCATTCCAGATAATATTTCAGGTGAGACGAAAGTGAACTATTAAATTTGTAACAAATTTGCACAACAGATGAAGCGGCTTACCTCTAAAACAGCGCTTTTGATAAACTAAGGAATTACAACAGCAAAATACATATTAAATACGAGTATTCATAGAGGGAATGGCTGAAAGACACGATGAATCGAAACAAAATACATCACATTTGCTCAGCTGTAAGAAAAATTAACTAACCTTGCGAGTGCCGCTACATCTCCATCCAGACCATACAGGACAGATAGCCCAAAGGCTAAAGTATCAAGGAGGGAAAAAAGATGATGTAAATATGAAACAGGAAGCTGCCAAAATTCCTACAGATAAAACATACCTAAAGAAGCCATTCCGGACGCAGATGAGGCCAATCCAGCAGCAGTCGGAAAATTGTTGATGCTGTTAATATCAAGTCTTTTGAACCTATTAAAAGCCCCCTTCTGCATTGCTCGTAACTGAGAGGCCTACATGTTAATGTCAGCAAGATTACAGAGATTACAATTATAACATCTTTAACACGATTGGGCAGGACTTGTTGTCTATTAAAAATTTAGAAAGTGAAAGCAAAACATACATGCCATTGAGCGTGAATGTTTGTCCAACCCCATCAGAAAGAGTAATTTTCGTTCTGCTGTGTAGCTACACGATAAAATGCAAGAAATGGCGTAAATTTACATGTTTGCTATTGAGCGTGAGGCTAAGGGAGTCTGCTACTGGTACTATATTTAAATCATCTACCTTTCCCCCTGAAAAATAACCAGGCGTAACAAATAAATAATTACAGTATTTAAGGAGGGCAATATTAACTGGCGCAATAACCTCCACCATCCCTCCGAGCCTAGCTTGGTAGCTGCTAAAATAACGGCTGGATCAAACCAATCAACTCAGTGGCCTTGAGTAACCAATGGCCTAAAAATAAACTCATTTAAAAAAATTAAAAGAGAAATTCTAGATAAGGCATGCTCACTCAAACCGAACAAATCATTTAACATCAAAGTGAATCTGTTGTCCATTAAAAAACAGTGCATTGTACAGGGTAACCGTGACTGACAGGACCAAAAATTTTATTAATTTGATGATGACAATACTGTTAACGCGTTTTGTGCAAATTGTGTGTATTGGGTCCTCGTCATGTATCGAAAGGAGACAACGAAGCATCATGCCAGAGAAATCAATCAGAAAGAAAGAACTAAGAGAGCCAAGGAACAAAAACAGCGCAGAAAAGAGAGAAAAAAGAGTGGAAAGCCGGCAGGGATCCCCCACACATTGGAAACACTAAGGACGCCTGATGAAACCATAATTCCAAAAGATGATGCTGATTTTCAGCATGAGGAGGAACACGTACGTTATGTATTCCGCCTTAATATTCATAATAGGATGAGTTATCTCGGATATATGCGAATAAAGTTGAGCCCAAGTTGCTACTGACACACTCTGATCGTGCTTGTCCCAAAACCCTTGGATTTTGCAAGGAGCTGGCGCGTGTACGTTTTCATTTATTTATTTCAATGTGTAATATTTATTTTGCCTGTTTTCGGGCTCTTAATATCTGTTGCATAAAATCTAAAAGAACATACTTTCATTTTTAGGTTATTCCCAACACTACCCTTCTTCCCCGTTGGCATCTCCCCTTGAAAAAACTTATACCTAAATCCATAGAACAAGGTTTCACGGCCTTGCTGGTAATTAACGAAGACATGAAAAAGATGAACACGCTCATAGTCAGCCACCTTCCAGATGGACCAACTGCCACTTTTCGCCTCACTAACGTCACACCTCGCCGCATGTTGTGTGGTCTCAAGAACCGTGGAATCGAGGAGGGTGTTATTCCTCACCTTATTCTCAATCGGTTTATGACCAGTTTAGGCCTCCGAGTTGAAAGAATCCTCGGTGCTCTCTTCCCCTCCGGTTCTCGCGGTCCCCCCCAGCCTCACTGTCGCACAGTTGTTTTCCACAATCAGCGAGATTTTATTTTTTTCCGACACTACCGATATCAGCACCGCAGGAACAGGGATGCAGTCGAGAACACAAACGAAGACCCAGAGTTAGATACACTAGACGAACCAGCAGACCGTGTGGCTCTGAACGAAGTGGGTCCTAGGTTTACTCTTAAGCTTAAATCAATCCAGCGCGGCACATTTGACAGCCAATTTGGAGACTACGAGTGGGTTAGAAAAGGTGCTGTTATTGGAAAGTCGAGACGTACTTTTGTACTTTGATGACTGTTTTAAAATAACAATGCCAGACTTCTTTATCGCCTTTAGTGCCCCGTTTATGCGAATGTATACTGCTTTTTTGGGTTTTATTACAAATACCAAAGCTACATTAGTTTAGTAAAGTTTACGATATCATTCAATTCACCTATACTTATAAGTGTGGCGTTCCCTCAAGTATCCGTTTAGTATCGTACTGGCTTGTGGGGAAAATCTAGATATTTAAAAACCAAATGTAAGGTTCTAATGTTGCTGTATTTTCTGCACTCAAGAAACCCCTTTTATCGCATTTGGGGTGCTCAATGTCTTCCATGTGTCCATTCGTATGTTCCCCGTACATTCTGAGGCAATTGGATAATTGGTTCCGCATCGATTCAAGACTTGGTGGCGTACACCAGGAGCTGTAGGTCTAGCATTTACTACAGAGGCATTAGTCAAACGCCAGGATATGAAACCTGTGATCATTTTTGTGCACCAACTGCCTTTCCAAGACCTCAAATAGTTCCCTGCATAAAAGTCTTCTAGATTCTGAAAATTGTCAATGTGTCATTCGTGTTATCGTCGAATTCCGATTTCGACGCCTTTTGTAGCTTCGGTTGGTGAAAATAATAGCAAACTTATTTACCGCCGTTGTAGTTAGTGGTTAAATGTTGCCATTATTTCGAGGAAATTTTAATTCCTACGCTCCTCTTTCATCGAAGCTGAACAGCTTCGGAAGAAATACTACTTCCAATTTTTTTAAGCTATTGGCAAAATGCTCAACTTAACAGCGCGTGGAATATGAAAAAATCGGTTCTTTAACTAACACCTTGTCATTACTAAAATACAGCAATGTCAGCTTTGTCACGTTCCGTTGACTGTTCTAGAGGAACGGGGTACAAATTTTGGTTTTTGTCCTTGGTGACTCGAAGGTACAGTTGGGGAAGGGGAGTTCTTGTTGGTGGATGCTTCAGCTGGTATAACGTCACGCTCCTGTCTACCGCTTTCTTCGGGTTTATCGTATGGGGTCCAGAACACGAAAAAAAGTCCGGATTCACGAATCCATTCGATTTCCTGTGCACATCGGGGCTGCGTTAGTCATCGGCCACGTAATGGATGTCAAACACAACGAATAAACTCTGATTTTCATTCTGTATAATCTACTTGTAACTGACACACACTGTGTACGGAAAGCCGGGTCGTAGAAATTGCAGTCAACAGTTTATTTTAGTTTTTTTTCCTAAAAAAATATCGTATCTTCACTTATCCAATTTAAAACTAGCATGTTTCCGCCGCATATGTCTCTCGAGATCCCTTCTTCTCGCGGACACATTTCCACAGATTTGACAAATATAGGGATTGTTGACGACATCCACCGTGGTTCCAGTGGCGTGAATTCGAAGGTGTTTGTTCAAATTCGAGGGGTCCCCGAAGCGTCGGGAGCAGATGCGACAGACGAGTGGCTTCTGACCCGTGTGTGTCCGCAGGTGGATCACGAGGCTGTAGCGCCTGGCGTACTGCTTGCCACAGAATGAGCACGTGTGTCGGGTTGGGGACCGCCGGCTTGTAACTGCGCGTGGACTTGACTCTCGATGGTGACACTTATCCAAGAAGAGGTGCGATTTGAGACAATTAGGCTGGGCAAAGGCGCGGTTGCATCTCGTGCAGTGGTAGCTGGCGGGATCTGTGTCAATGCAACGTTAACGTCAGCTGAAAGCGCACGTCGGTTGAAAAATGACTCGTCTACACTGGCAGAGCATCTAGCCTTCACAATAAGTTTCAGTGAAATGAGAAGCTACATCTTTAATTTCACTGATTGCCCTCTAGGTTAACTTCAATTGTCATTTACCAACCAAGAATTTAGAATAACACAACCAAAGGCTAAAGTGGTACATTGCCGATAGCCAAATTTGTTACCATCCACCATAAAACATCAACAGTGAGTGTGAGTGTTGAGACTCTCTCTTAATGTCAAAGTTACCACCGCTTGTTTTTACTGATTGCTTGGTGTAATTTCTCCCCACGTAAGGACACATTTGGACAAAATGCGCAATGAGGTCTCTACCGTTAATTTCTCCAAGAGAGAAATTTGTCAAATTTCCCCCATCGAAGTGGATTGATAACGCAGGTGACTCACTTTTGATGTGTTGAATGGTCAGAAAAGGCAGGCCGATTGTTAACGAGAGTAGGAGATCTGGCCAGACGAGCAATTCACAGCCAAAATTGATATCCTTCAGGGCATAGAATCGCAACGGTCCGGCAATTTGGGTTTGGTTGCCGTGGCACCCACAGAGGTGGGCCAACCTACCAATCCTCTTGCCACTCACCCGTGCAATTTCAACATTCTGGTCGCAGCAGTTTTGCGCAGCACGAAGATTGCTCACCCACTGGCTACTTGCACCACTAAGAGTAGTATTGGTATCTAAATCGTGAGCAGTGAACCCGTCCGCTGCATCCACAAGCTGTAAAAGAAAGGTACATGCTCGCCTTACCTTAAATTGGCACATAGCTATTGTAGCGTAGCCGGCTTTGGGGAAGTTTAATCCACTTCTACTAGGACCGATCGTAAATTTAAAATCAAAACAGTTCTATTTGGAGAATCAGATTTCATTACAAACAAACAAACGCAGAAATTTCAAGTCTTCGGTAATGGCAGAAGCGGGTGAATTGCCTGTTCAGCAAAGTGCGTGGAAATCAGCTAGCATCCTTGGCTTTTAAAATATGGTTGTTCAATGAAGTATGTAAATGGGGTTATAATCAAAACTAATAATTTGTTTCAATATACCAAGTCAATAATCAATTGCCACTTATGTATGGAGTGAACTTGCATCAAACAAGCGTGTGTGAAGCGCATTCACGAGTTGATCGAATGCCATTGATTGTCGATTACAGTTGACGTTCGAGATACACTCACGAGCTGTGCTATAAAAAAACTTGGGTAGTCAAATGTAAATAAAGCGTTAAATTCGCTATCATTGGTCTTGCCTTTCTTCTCAGGCTATTACAGACTGCGATCAGTGGGGTTGTAAGGTAGTGCTAACCGAACCGCTGCAGATACATCTGTTGTGGGCCCCAGAATGTGGTCCTGAACCACGCCGGGGCCATGGAATTAACCCTGGCCCGATTACGCTTGTCTGATGCATAAAGACCGGAGAGGACATGGACACAACCGCTTAGCTCAACCAAAACTGGTGTCGTTGTGTCGGGTTTGCGCGTGTGTATTTGTACCTCGGGTGCGTGAGTCATAGATGCGCTAACATCGAGATCTAGGTGTGAGGTTAATCCTAGATACATGTACGTGTGAATGAAGGGGGGTTAAGGATTTGCGCGGCTGTCGCCATGCTGCGAGAAGGAGAGCCTTGTATCGGAGGCGAATCGATCGGATTAAGGAGCTGAATAAACACGATTCACAGCACATCTGTACAGTCAGATTGACACTGATTCGCAAATTATGTGTTATGCTTTCGGTTATCGGTGCTTGTCGTTACTCATTGTATTGTTAATTTCGATTTTCAAGCGGAAGGGGGCTTCATGTGCTAGTTTTCTGAGGATGTACCTGTTCGAACTTGTTCGAACATGTACTTTCGCATTGCATAAATCAGTCACCGAAAGACAGAGGTAACGTCCAGTGGGATAACACTCATGACTCCATGATTCTGCTTCGCCAAACATTTCCGGAATGTAGTGGAGAGTTACATTATGCGGAAGTACCGTGGCTCAAGCAATCATATAGCTGAAATCTGACACGTTAAATCTGTAAATATAATGGACGTTTATAATTAACTTAATGAGACCGTATGAGATTAGGGTTAACCTTTGCTGAGGAAACAGAACAGCTTTCACGACCAAATTGTTCTGAGATTGTGGAAATTTACTAAGGGGACAGCGATTGTTTTGATGAGGCTGAATATAAGTGAGCTCGAGATATGACTACTTAAGGAATTTTTCTAGTGAAAAATGATAAGAGCATTTACTCACCACAAGCGGCTGCCGGCAGATGGGCATGGGTTCCACTAAAAGCGTGAAAAGACACTTGAAGCAGATGGAATCAGAAGAGCCAAGGTAGGTGCCGCTGGGAATGAAGACGCAAGCCGAAACAACACCTCTCCAATGAGATCGGGCCATCCTCTCGCGGAAATGTTTTTGTGTGGTTTTCTGTTTTGCATCACCCCGTCCACTAAGACCAGTACCACCACCATCCTAACTGACCAATAGCTTTTGGGCTAGTGAGCTGGTGTCAGCTGGTGAGAGCAGGCGCCAGTCTAGCCAATCAGTGCTCTTGTAAAAAGTGGCAATGGTCATTTTTTGGTAATTTACCAAAAATGGAAAAACAGCTCCCCAATTGAAACTACGTTCACTCTTTTTGTGTGAGAACCAACCCTGTTTAATTTAGCACAAATGCAATATGCTACGTGCTATGTTTTGAAGACGTCTCGCACCCAGATCATCAATTAAGGCCGTTTAAAAAGAATGTAGTGGCAAAAGTACATAGCGTAGGCGACAACAGCTAGTCACCTTCTGGGCTCGATGCGTCAGTGTGGTTATGAAGTCCTTTTTTAGTGACGATCTACAATTTGCGTGTCGGAGTCAATGAAAGGTAAGGCAGAGGACTGAACTTTAAATTAGCTGATAACCCACTAAATGTCCACACGGATGTAGATGCATGTGTGTTTGACAATTCTAACGAAGTGCCAATTATTTATCTGCTTTGTAATCATAGATCATTGACGAACCAACTGCCATAATAAAATTCCACCTCAGGCACCAAACACTCCCTATTTGTGCTAAACGATTTAGAGATTAAGTGTTGCGGGGTGATATTTTTAGTGAGTTTTGTCGCAAATGGTTATTAGTGACTTTTGTTTTGTGGGCCTGTCTCCTAGAGGCGACCACATTACCTACAGGGTCCAGAAGGATCCTCCTTATTAGTTATTTTAGGACCAGACAAGCACAATTTGGCAACCAGGAAAGCCTTTTCATCCACTTCAAGACCGTGCTATTGCCTAATTTATCAATCTGCTTTTGAGCGAGTTCCAGTGGATACAGTCCAGTGGCAGTTCAACAGTGTTGACCAGCTGAGACGGGGCGCATATTTGATCAAGATAGTTTCTGGACGGACTTCTAAGAACCTGCTGATGAAGAGATATGATCTGACACAATACAACTATAATGTAGTTGACGTGGATTTTGTTAGCTCGGTCATAAGTGTCAGAGAGTCCATCGTCGGCTGCAACCACATATTCAGAATTTTGCATAATCTGATATAGGACATAGTTAAAGGCACTTCCAAAAATAGTTGATATTACACGCCATGATTAGGCAATGTATTAAGAAGACGTCCATTGCATTAGTGAAAACCATTAGACCTACTAGTCTAGTGCTTTTCATCTCAAATTTCCTAAAACACACATTCCGTCGTACGTGTCTGAGAAGTCGCGAAAGAATTCCTCAATCACGATAGGCAACGATTGATGAACTAATTTTAAATCATTTCTAAATTGAAAAAAAATCTACGCCAACCGAAATACCCGATTCGGGAATTAAAAAAATACGTCTTAAGCACTCAAAAGCCCTCGGACAACAAACGTTCGAACCTATGCGGTGGATCAAGCAATCGAGCTGGTGTAATTTTAACGAACTATCTTTTGCGCACTTTTGAGTGGACGGGTGAGTGTGCTACCAGTGATGGTGATCTTTTTATTGCACATCTAGCCATTGCTTACATCACCGACACCTAGGGTGGTTCACATAAATTCTCAAAATTATGAGAGCAGACACACACAAGCACACCCGCACGTGCGCAACCGGGGCAATAATTACATTTAAGCAGCGTCAGTTTATAAGGTTTTATTGCCAGTGAGAAAAACGTGGGCTTTTAACTAGTCGTGCCGAGGACAAAGACACAGCAAATAACGTGAAAATTCGTCCTTTCAAATATGTTGAAGGATTTGCCACAAAAATTACCGACTAGAGAGAATATACGTACTCGGCAAGATTGCATCAACTGGTATCTGCACGAACTCAAAGCAACTGCGTAAATCGACTTTGGATCACGCGTTTCTACGGAGAGACCGCTAACTCAAAGCG